AGCCAGGTCAGGGAGCGGTGAGGACCCGAGACCAGCAGCCAGTGCGAGTGGCATGAGAGAGTAGGCAGCGTTCGCCTATTTGGGTCACTATGTGCCCCCAGCATCCTCTGAATAGAGAAAAGGCTCAGTATGTGTTTGCTGAATGAATGAGTGAGTGAATGAATGAATGAATGAATGGAGTTGAGAGGAGAGTTCTGGGCTGGAACTATAAGCGTGGCTGTCACCAGCCTGGAAGGTGTTTAAGGCTGTGGGAGTGAGTGACGTCACCCAGGAAAGAGAGGAAAGAGAAAGAGAAAGAGAAAGGAAAGAGAAAGGACGGACCACCCCATCCCCCAAGCCAGGCATTGCTGATTTAGGAAGCAGAGCCGGCAATGCCAGGAGGTCTTAGAGAGTAGCCCAGAGGCAGGCAAATGTGGCCGAGGGCGGGGCTGGCCCTCAGCCCAAGGGGGAGAGGAGAAGCTTCCGGCGCCAACAGAGAAGGCCCTGACCCTTGACCTGGAGCCACAGGCCTCCTCCTGCCTCCCGCTCCTCAGACTACGACGCCCAACTCAGGCTGCCCAGAGAGCAGGCCCCAGAGTCCCCGGCAGCCCTCGCGGCCTCAGCAACACGTGTCGTCCGGGCACAGGTGTGGCCACCACAGGCCCAGGTGGCTGAGCAGCTCGGTGCCACCTCCTGTGCGGGTACCAGAGCGCACACAGCCTGGGGCTGGGCACGAAGGCGGGTACTCACTGTGACGAGGCTGTGGGGGGGGAGGCGCCCTGGGTACAGGTCGTCAACCCAGGCCCCGGGATTGCGGGCCCAGGGATTGCGGGCTAGAGGCACCCCCGACGCCGGCCTCCACACTGGCACACACCAGGGACTGGCCGGGGAGAGGCAGACGGAGTCTCGCAGGGAATTCCTAAGTCAAGGACTTGGAGGAAAATCGTCCTGGGAAGACCTTATCCGAGCCCTGTTGGGACCTGGGTCTGGGTCAGCCTCCACCGCTGACCAGCTGGGCGGCCCCACGTGCCTCCGAACACCGTCCAATTGGAAGAGAGCTGCTAACTCTACCTCCCACGTGGAGCGGGAATTCTTCCCGCAACCCCCCGCTCCCCCGCCCAGGCATAGGACCATCCAGCGTCTCCCCAAACGTCCAGGGCTGGGACCGTCTCTGTGCACAGCCCGGCAGTGTTGTCAGCAGCACCTCTGCCCGCCGTGGCTCAGTTGGCTGAGTGAGTGAGTGAAGGGCTGCTGTTCGGTTCCCAGTCGGGCACGTACCTGGGTGACGGTTCCGGTTCCGTCCCAGGTGTTTCTCCTTTCCGCTCCCTCTCTCTCCTTGCCTCTCTCTAAGCGTGTCCTCAGGTGAGGACCGAAAAGGAATAAAGAGAGCGCCTCCTGTTCAAAAGGCCTGCAAGGACCCAACACCAGATGGGAGCAGTGTCACCTGGCGGGGGGGGGGGGGGGGGGGGGGCTAGAGGTCAATATAAAGCTGCCTTGATTGAGTTCCTAACGGTGGTCAAGAAGGTACACTCCCCAGGAAACCTCCTTTTCTTTATTTAAAATAAATTCAGAGCATTGCTAAAGAGATATTCACAACCGGTATAATTGGAATGGGA